TGGTGCGTTTGTTGACCCTGTGCGCATAAGTCTCTGGAGCAATTGCTGACAGCAGTCAACTTACAGCGATCATGGCTCCCGAGAACCCTGAACCCCTTGACCCCGCCGATCTCGCACTTCTCATGACACCGGAACAGCTGAAGAACCCTGCCCCGAAGAACACCAACGTCAGTTTCCTCCGTCGCACACAATACATTTCTGCCGGGCTTCGTGCGCCGGATAGCCCCAAGGTCACGACAGTCCGAACAAAGTCGCGTTCGCTCGACAAAGGCCGGTCACAGGACGACCCTATCTACATCAAGAAGTACCTTCAGAAAGGGTTCGACGTCGCTTATCCCAATAGCAAGCATGTTGGCGAAGATACGGCGAGCAGCATCAAGGGTCACACCGCGACGAAGCTCGAACTCGATGCGTGGGCTCATCCAGTGCATCCTGATAATCCTAAATTGAAGCCGGTCGGGTTCTTCCCTCTCCTTCCTGATCTACAGGGATTCCCTGATCCAGGAGGCTTCGTTCAATTTAAGTTCGATAAAACACCTATCCAGGAGATATCAAACAAGAGAGACAAGCGCATGGATGTGGCAATTCTACATCCGTCTGCACCAGAGGAGCGCATATGCGAGGAGCATGCGACCAAGGCCGCCCTGCACAAGTCAAATCCTGATTTGTATCCCGACCCCGGTCCCATTCCCTGGGATTACGATTTGTTCTTGCCCGAGAAGAAAGAGCTGGCCAAGAGCGTTTCTGCAAGTCTGCAGTTGACCAACCCGGACCGTAATAATGAAGAGCTGTACACTCATGACGGGCCTGACGGTACCAAATTTCACCGTTACGATCGTGCTCGTACATATGCTACCAGCGCTCAAACCCTCGGTGATAGCCAGAAGCAGCGAGACATAGCCGTGACGCTTTTCGATCCTTCTGAGGTGCGCGGAGGCCAGCGCGATAGCTTGTCTGCGAGACAGATGGCCGCCTACTACTATCCCATTCTTGGAAAGACTCGCTTGAAGCCCGAGAGAGCCCGGACCATTGCGCAGGCGGGTCTCGCTCCTACGCGCCCCAAGACGAAAGAAGACCAAGTTGATCAGATGCAAGTTGCCATCCGCGATCCAGACGAGGCAGAGGCATACAAGCGGGCTCAACACAGACTTGCAATTGACCCGAAGTATTCGAAAAGTATGCCTCCCGCCCCGGAAGAACCCGAGCCGGAAGACACCAAGGATGAGGACGAGTTTGATGCATCTGCTTACCGCGACGCAAGCGCTGAGCGGGAGCCAACTCCTCACGATGCAGATGATGACGAAATGAGCGACGAGTGAACCAGCCAGCGCATCGCTCTTCTCTACCGCCATTCCTACTCACGTGGGACAGTGGTATCCGTGTCTATCATGCCCTGCTTCTTTCATTATTGGGTGTGCATTGCAATTGTTTACATACTCTCTCATCCGTATAATACAAGTCTTTTCTTCGGCTCCTTCACCAAGCATTGCTATCATCCGCCACGTCAGGTGTTCCCAGCATGTACGAAGCAGACGCATGCACCCTGAACGGCTGAGACAGCGACGAAGTCATGGCAGCAAAATCAGAGGCGTTTCGAGGCAGTACGCGTGATCTTGGAGTTTGGAAACATAGCGGAAATTCACTTCAGCTCAATTGGGTTTCTTATCTTGTGCTTAAATCCGCACTCACCTGCATTCCCCAACGCTAGACATCTAGTATCTATTTATGTTCTTAGTTGGGAAATGCTGGCTGGTTGGGCAAACACACCTTGTATTATGCCGTAAATATCTATTTCTAGTCAATTGAACATGAATCCCGACGTGCTGATCGCCAATCCGTTGTCAATGACTATCAATCCTCGTGATAATACTACACACCGCCTCCCCGCCTGTCCCTCCGCATCCGAGCCCGCATAATTCTGCCGGCTTGAATTCGCCCACCGCCTCGAAATCCGTCCGTTGTCGGCTGGGCTTCGGCTGTCGCAAAGCCGGCTGTATTCCCTTCTCCCGAGTCGGGGCTCTTTTCTCTACCGCTCAAGCCTACGATTGCTGCTTAATCTCGGCTCGCTTCACTTTCTCATCAAGACTGCTCAAGGGCTGCTCCCAATTGCACGCAAATCAGGCATTAGGCGGGTGTGGTAAGTCAATTCTGTCGTTCTTCCCCCCCCCCTCATGCAGTCATCTCCAACCGCGCGGTTCGACTCCGTTTTCGCGGGGAATGGCAGAAAGAACCGGAACTTTCAGCGCAAGGCCATATGCAAAGGCATGGGCTCTCCCAGACGCTCTTATACGCTGCGGGAGAGACACTCCGTCACAATTGCAGAATTGAATCACTAGGTTCATTGCATCCCCATACTTATTATAAATGTCCCATCCCTCGCTAGAAGTTTCTCCATCTACCCTACACATCTCAAAGTCATCTACATATTGAACCGCCTGCTCCTCCCTTGCCTGCAATTCTCCTTTCTCCCCCTCCTCAGTATAGCATAATTACGGCATAGAAAGCTCTAACCTACCAGCATCGAGCACGCCACTTGAAACCATACAACTAACACCCTGCCCACCACAATTCCAGCATAGGTCATCAACCTTTTTCACCTAAAACCGACTTCTTCCCGGTGAAGAACGCAACACTTGAAACAGATCACCGCTTTACTTACGACGCTCCCCCGGAACCAACTCACAATGGCCGCCAACGCAGTCTGGAGGGCCTCGCGAGCCCGCGCACTCCAACCCTCTCTGCGCCTTCAGTGCGCCGCGTCCCCGGTTCCCTCTTCGATGCTCTATCGCCGCTCCACATCATTCCCCGCGCAACTCACGAGTCAGATGCGATTTGCCTCGTCGGGTGAGAAGGCCACGGAGGCTGTGGCCGAGGCCGCCGAAGCGACTGTGAAGGAGAACGCAGCCAAGGCTGCGGAGACTGCGGAGGCAGTGGCAAAGGAGGCACCCAAGAAGGCCGGTCGTGGGCTCAAGAGGACGGTCATTGGGACGACGTTGGCGCTGGGTGCGCTCGTCGGGTATGTATACGCCACGGATACTCGGGCCAGCGTGCATCGGTATGGTATGGTTCCGTTGGTGAGGGCCTTGTTCCCCGATGCGGAGGATGCGCATCACTTCGGCGTGGATATCTTGAAGACGCTCTACAAGTACGGTCTTAATCCCAGAGAACGGGGCGATCCGGACGGAGATGGGTCGTTGGTGACGGAGGTAAGGCCGGGCTTCTCTTAATCCTAGATGAGGTGAGAAAGAGGGTCTATGGATGACATCTTGCTGATTTTGTTCGCCTTCGCTAGGTCTTCGGATACACCCTTTCCAACCCAATTGGTATCTCTGGCGGACTCGACAAGCACGCTGACATCCCGGATCCACTGTTCGAAATCGGGCCTGCAATTGTCGAGGTCGGTGGAACGACCCCTCTGCCGCAGGATGGTAATCCCCGTCCTCGCGTGTTCCGTGTCGTCTCCCAGAACGGCATGATCAACCGCTACGGCCTGAACTCCAAGGGCGCCGACCATATGGCTGCCGTGCTTGAGCAGCGTGTCCAGGATTTCGCTTACGCTAATGGATTTGGGGAGCATGAACTGGCTGAGAAGCGTGTGCTCAATGGCGAGGCCGGCGTGCCTCCAGGTAGTCTGCGGCCTGGCAAGCTTCTTGCTGTGCAGGTGGCTAAGAACAAGGTCACCCCTGATAACGACATCGAAGCCATCAAGCGTGACTACGTGTATTGCGTGGACCGCGTCGCCAAGTACGCTGATATCCTGGTTGTGAACGTCTCGAGTCCCAACACCCCCGGTCTACGTGACCTCCAGGCGACTGCTCCCCTGACGGCCATCCTAAAGGCCGTTGTCGGAGCTGCCAAGAGCATTGACCGCACCACCAAGCCCTATGTCATGGTGAAGGTTAGCCCCGACGAGGATGCAGACGAGCAGGTCTCTGGCATCTGCCAGGCTGTCTGGAGTTCCGGTGTGGACGGTGTAATCGTCGGTAACACCACCAACCGTCGTCCTGATGCTCTCCCCAAGGGATTCACCCTGCCGGCTGCGGAGCAGGAGACCTTGAAGGAAACGGGAGGTTATTCCGGACCCCAACTGTTCGACCGTACCGTCGCGCTTGTCGCTCGCTACCGGGCGATGCTCGATGCCACTCCCAACACTCCGGAGCTGACAGGAGCCGCCGCGGAGGCCACCACGACCGCGGCCCAGGTCGAGCCTGACACAGAGAACACGCCCTCAGTGGAGCCTCCGAAACCCTCGGACAGTCTGGCCCGGAAGGTCATTTTCGCTTCTGGCGGTGTCACCAACGGCCAGCAGGCGCAAGCAGTTCTGGATGCCGGAGCCTCGGTTGCAATGATGTACACGGCTATCACTTACGGTGGGATGGGAACGGTCACGCGCGTGAAGCAGGAGATGCGCGAGGGCAAGAAGCAGCAATAGGTTTGTTGGGAGTGTTTAAAAAAAAGAGGGGATCCGAGCGTTTATTGTTGTGGGTGTCCATAGGAGGAGATCCCGGGTCCCGCTGTCGCTGTAAATAGAATAAAAGTAACTGTTAGACTATCAATAGTCCCACCGAGCCTCCTAGCTAGGGCGGAGATGAAGCATGAAGCACGAAGCATGAAAGACAGAGCCACTAACGATACGCCACTTCCGCAATAAGCAGTTGGGGAAGGTCAGGTGCCCCCACGTGTTTTTTTGTTTTTCTCTTCCCCCGCACGGGACCAACTCCGCGCGGGTCGACGGGAGTCCAGATCCCCGGAAACACCAAGAACAACCATCCCGAGCACGAGTAGAAGAATTGGAGAGATCTGGCAAGCCAAACTGAGCATTATGACCCCCGGCGGAGAAGCAGCATGCCACTGGGCGTTGTTTCGGCATTGCCCTTTAGAGAATAGCCAACTTCGAAATGAATCATTCTTGGAGAATTCAACTCGTATCATGTCAGGTCAGGTGTTGATTGGGTCTGGTCTGCCCCGGACTGCCACTGTCCAGCGGCATAACCGCATACCAACCTACACCATTCTACACACAGGAACAAATCTCCAGTCACTCACGCAGGTCAGGCTATCGTCTCCTCGACCTCGCGAACCACCTTGCGAACTCCCTCAATGTCGTGGGCGAATCTCCCCAGGAACATGCCATCGACGGCCTTCCCCAGCCCGCCCGCGCCCCACAGCCCGGGCCCGGCACTTCCCCCATAGAGAATGCGGACTTCCCCCGCGCGGCCGCCCTTAGTGCCACCACTCCTCCCCATGACCACCGCCTTAATCCCCTCCACCACCGCCGCAATATGATCCACACCCGCCGGGGCCGGCTTCCCAATCGCCCAGACAGGCTCATAGGCGAAGATAACCGGCGCGTCCGCGGGGATAGCGTCCAGCACCGCGCGCACCTGGGCCTCGCATTCGCGCACCGCCCGCCCCACGGCCTGCGAGGCCACGGGACCCGGGGCGGTGATCTCACCGATACAGACCAACGGGATCATGCCGTGGGCGCTCACGGCCGCCGCCTTGCGGCCGGTCTGCGCGTCCGTCTCGCCGAAGAGATCGCGGCGCTCCGCGTGGCCGAGCTCCACGAGGGAGACACCCAGCGCGCGCAGGGCGGCCGGCGAGATTTCGCCGGTGTAGGGGCCTTGCGACTCCCAGAAGCAGTCTTGGGCGCCGAGGAGGAATGTCGAAGAGGTGGTGCGCGGGGCGGTAGTCGCTGCTTCCCACTGCTTGATGATCTCGGCGCAGGGGTAGATGGTCAGGAAGTCGGGGATTAGGGCGAGGAGGAGCTTGGATTGGTGGTGTTCTGGTCGGACGATGTCGTTCTGTGGGGAGAGGAGGGCGCGGCAGTATTCTTGGGTTTGGGCGGGGGTGAAGTACATCTTCAGGGAGATGATGAGGAGCTTGGGGGGTAGTGGGAGATAGGCCATGGTGGTTGATGATGATGATGATGTTGTTGATGAAATTGGTAATTGATGATAGTGGTGGTAGTGGTGGTGGTGATGGTGGTGATGGGCGACAATGGTTGTGGTGGTGGATGTTCGGTCGAGGTTGCTGTTAGCTCGGGGGTAGTTTGGCAGGTCATGGATCGTTCAATGCTACTTCGAGGAACCCGAGGAAGCGGTCTACTAGTCCCAGTTCGGGAGCTGTTGATTTCGCCGAGGCCGGCTCTGCTGGTACCCTCGAATCCAAGAGGGACGTCAGTACAGTCTGCGAGCGATAGGATCGGATGACGGAGTGGGGTAAAATGTTGCTGGGCAAGGAGGGGCACGGCCGTAGTGCCCATTAACTAGCTCAGACACTATCAGGCCTGGTGCATGAGCTCCTCCTGTGTGTTGCATCTCTAGTTTCAGAGAAGCAAACAACATTAAGATTATGAATCTGCTGTCAGGTTTCCGGCATGTTTGCTGGGACTGGAAGAGCTGGAGATAAACAGAAAACGCAATTGACATCGCATACCTACTACCTTACTTGTGCTTGGAACACGAGTCGATGTCAACGCACAGTACCGGGACATCTCATGGAGGGATGTAAGCTCTCTACTATATGAAACTCCCTCTAATCTGCTGAATCCCGGCCTGAGAATGGAGATGCGAGATTGTGGCACGGCAGAAGGAGGGGTTGATCGACCCTGGTCTTTGCCCCTCCCAGATGGTGGCTTGCAGCATGGCTTGCTTGGACAAAAATGAAAGACGGAAGGAAAGGTACAAGGTTACTTGGAATGACTGGGATGGCTCTTTGAGTACTCCGTACGGTAATATACGGGGAGTCGCAGGATCTGGATACCATCAGACTATAGTGCATACTATCCAGTGCTTGGCTGTACTAAACACGTTGGCAGCTCCAGTCGATCCGGCGTGGGGCGGGGAGTGGAGAATCGACCGTGCAATCCACTTCAAAACCCACTCCCGGAGCCTGGATCAATGAATAGAGGTATCTAGTACATACGTTAGTATGTCCAATATTTCGTACCGTACCGGACAGAGTCGACATGTTTCGGCTTGGAAGACACATCACTGCATGTGGTAGCATCGGCGCACATATCATATGCAATCTGCAAATTCTCTCTCCAGTGGGGTGGTGTTCCGCCCACCCCATTGGGTGTCATTGTCTGGAAGCTCCTCAAGTTTTGGTCGGCTTCATTAATGAAGCAGAACGATAGCACCATCGACGCAAATCGTCTCTCCTGCTGGCTCCGACTTTACCCTGGCCTGTCTCTGCAAGCATGGGAGACCATGCGTGCTGATAGGGCGAGTAAAAGCCTCGCGTACCTCGAGAAATCCAGATCCGCAGGTCATACTCTTCTAGGTTAACAGATTGTCCTCAAGGCGATCTAACCACAGCAGCCACTGCGGCGTAACTAGGCACCGAGTCTGAGCCTCCCATGTCACAAAGGTTATTTGGATAGTTACAGCGGAATCAAAGAAGGTGGGAAGAGAGACGATCAATCGTCAGCACCCCGGGGAGCTGGGTTGCGCATTGATGGGTGATAGACTCGATACGTCGATCTGCATACCTCAGGTAGTACCGACACTTTGGGGGGCAAGTGTTTCTCAATTCTGTCAGCCACCCAGCAAACCTTTGAAAGAGCAGAGACAGGTGCCAACGACGACTCGGGAATGCATAATGGGTGTAGGTTAGTTTGTACTTCAGAGGCGGTGTCGAGGAGTAAGTCAAATCGATACAGGCGCTATCCGAGGATGGTTAGTCTGCTCTGCACTGGAAAGGATCGGTAATTACCACTCAAGAGAAGAGAGAGCATTGCGACCAAACATCAAATCATTCATCAATTTCAAATTCGGTGCCTGGCTGGAGGGTCTCGTCCAGAGCCGAGGACAATTGTTGGTAAACTAACGTGGCGGACGACTGAAGGATGAACGGATCCATCGTGGATCTCTGGCTCGCCGCAACGCCGGGTTTCCGCATTTGGACGATTGCTTTGGTATGAGTAGGGAACAATTAAGGTGCATGAATCGCATTAATCGGAACAGATATCGGGGGTCTCCCTTTCCCCGACGGATAAGTTAAGTTCATGACGCCATGGTGGACCTGCCAGAACCAAACATTCGAATCAACCTGCATTCCATCGAAACAGGCTTCTTTGGAACGATCGCTGCTGTGGAGAACCCAAGCGGCCTTTGGAGGTGCGCGCGTCAGATATTGTTCGTACTGCAGTCTTACTGCACTGCAATGTGCTGAATGCACCCGATGCTGTCGAAGGCGCTGATTGGAGCAGTGAGCAGTGTCCTCTCCCCTCATCAAACGCCAAAGTTTGGGTTTGGGTTTGGGTCTCAAGAGAGGCACGCACCCGGGCTCAGCCTGCATTCTGTTCGGGTCCAACAGAATGAGAGCTCGAGGAAGGATTCGGTGGTGGAGGAGGAGGATATAAAGGCTGATTCGATCCCTGTCCCCAGACGACATTTTTTCATCATTGTTCCATCATCCACTCTTATCCTTTATCAGACATATACTCCGCCCTTCCTGTCCGTCTCAGTCGCGAGGCTCCATTATACACTACATTTCACCTGTTAATCGCTTAATACCCATCATGTCTACCGATCTCAAGCCCCTCCGCATCGTCATGGCCTGCGATGAGGCTGGTCAGCCCTACAAGGAGACCCTCAAAGTCGCCTTGGAGAAAAGTCCGCTGGTCGACTCCATCCTCGACGTAGGCGTCAATTCCACTAGCGACAAGACAGCGTACCCTCATCCCGCTGTCGCTGGCGCCAAACTCATCAAGGAGGGCAAGGCAGACCGCGGGCTGTTTATCTGCGGCACTGGTCTCGGTGTCGCTATCTCGGCGAACAAAGTGCCTGGCATTCGTGCTGTGACGGCTCACGACTCTTTCTCCGTCGAGCGCTCGATCCTCAGCAATGATGCGCAGGTGCTCTGCTTCGGCCAGCGCGTCATTGGTATTGAGCTCGCCAAGAAGCTCGCCAACGAGTGGCTGACCTACCGCTTCGACCCCAAGAGCGCCTCCGCCGAGAAGGTCCAGGCTATTTCCGACTACGAGGCCCAACTCTTCAGTCAAGCTGCTGCCGCGCAGTAGACGGTATGAAGCAAGAACAGGCCCTGTGTGCATCACGACACATTATCCGGCAACTACCCGAACTCTCCCTTACCCATCGGAGGATGCGAAGATCATTCGCCTATCTTCGATAATAATTTTCGAGTGAAGCGACCTGTCTGCGGACTGGATCCGGACCGAGTCATTCTTCAACACTTATATAAATAGCTCAAAACGAAATTGATGATAACCGCTTGATGAATGGAATTAGATTGGCCGGCCAATTGCTCATGTCCTTTCGAGCTCTGGATTAGCAATTACGATTAAATGAAATACCTACTGAGACTTTCGATATGATTGTAGCAGCCCGTAGTTACCGTTGTACCTGCTATCCCACCTTTTCGCGCAGCGTTCTTGCTCTCCGATCTCCATACATTGCGACTAATTACCCCATACTTTCGTTCTGCGGCTAATGTGCTGACTCATCTATCATTCTGCGGGGGTCGATCAGCTTCGATTTGCAAACGACAGGAGCAAGTCACCGAATACATCAGGGTCGAGTCTACCTGAGCAAAAATGGCGCACAACCCTCCTGACTGCTTTGGGTTTTCCTTTCCAATGAGGAAGGATAGCGCCAGTTCGCGCCTCCCCGATCTATCCAAACCAGCGCCGAAGTGCTTTGATGTCTTACCGTGAGACATACTGACTGAGCCTCCTCCGGTCGCGTGTCTTACCATCCAAGCACACCAGCACACCCCCTTTTCGGCCTCCTCTTCCAAAACAATCGCGCTGTATACATGAGATAGAAGCATTCTCAGAACTTCCACCGCCGGTCGACCGTCACGCAGGACCGCATTAGCTCCGCACCGAGCAGTGGATCATCACCGGACTGGGCCCCACCAGAAACCGATCGCTCCGCTCAATTACTCATTCACTGGCACCAACAAAAAAAGGGACCAAACACTCTCACGGACACGTTGTTGAGGGCCTCGCATCAAGCACCTTCTGCTGCCCAATTAATACAAACCCCATCGCTCTCCGATATCTCCGCTTGTTTTCGCACCCAGAATCCTAGACCTGTGTACGGGCGGCACGGTAGCACGACAACCATGGCCTTCGAACTCAAAGAGAAGGGCAATCAGCTCTACAAGGCGGGCGACTATGCCAGCGCGGAGGAGATGTTTTCGCAAGCGTGAGTCCAGCATCAATGCACGGGGAGGAAAATTTACGAGGCCCCCCTCCTCCCCTGCGAGAGTTGTCATGCGGCCAAAGACATTTGCCAACTAAAATTTGCCTGGGCCTCCAGGATCCAAAAGAACCCGAAAGAGCCGACGTTCTTCTCCAACCGGGCGATCACCCGCATGAAGCTCGAGAACTGGGCCGGCGTCGAGCAAGACGCGCGCGCCGCGATCGACCTGTACGGCGCGAAGAACCCGGCCAGCTTGAAGAGCCGCTTCTATCTGGCGCAGGCCCTGTTGGAACTGCAACGGCCCCAGGAGGCGCACGAGGTCGCGACGGAGGCATACCAGGCGAGTCTAGCGGCCAAGAATGTGCAGTCGGAGAATCTGTCCAAGACGGTTCTGCGCGCGAAGCAACAGCTGTGGGCAGCGAAGGAGGCGGCCCGCGTGCGGGAAATGAACGGGACTCTGGCGAGTGTGGAACGGCTGATCGAGGCGGACCTGCAGCGAGCGCTGGATGACCTCCAGGGACAGTTGGATCGCGGGGAGATCGGTCAGATTGGGTTCTCGGAGGACCAGAAGGCGCTCCGGGAGGATACGGAGAAGACGCTCCAGGTGTTGCGGGAGACGTTTGCCATTGCGTCGAAGGGGGAGGTTCAGGAAAGGGTGAGTTGCCGATCGCAACTGTCGTATCTCAACCGAGGCATTTGGAGGGTATCGAAAGCTGACTCTGTTTGACTACTACCACTCCAACAGGTTGTACCCGATTACCTCATCGACCCAATCACGTTCGAGATCATGCACGATCCGGTGATTACGCCGTCCGGGACCAGCTTCGAGCGTGTTGCAATCACCAAGTACGTGGAACAATCCAAGGCCGACCCGATCACGCGCGTACCCATGACAGCGGATGACCTCCGGCCCAACTATGCGCTGAAAGGGGTGTGCGAGGAGTTCTTGGAGAAGAATGGCTGGGCGGTTGACTGGTAGATCTTGTGCCTCGACATTTGAGTCTTTCTTGAGCGTAGTTTGTCAAGTTACAAATGGGTTGGGCGTTGGCAGAGTTCTGTTTTGTTTTGTTTTGTCTTGTTTCTTTTTCTATGTTCATATTCCTTGTTGTTCCTAGATGCACATAGGCATATATCTGTCATCAATAGAACATCTACAGCACTACTGCTACAAAACCAATTAGCTGCCGTTAAACTACATGACAGCTAACAATCAACAAGAGGAGTAGAAAAACAAACGTGATCTCAACAATTCCCCCCTCTTCTCCAAGCGGCCAACCCCACCAAGCCCAAAACAAACCAAACAAACCCCTACACCCCCACCACAACAACCACTGGGCATTGACTAAGTCCCCCCCTCCATCAATCCATCAATCCAGACGATTTCCCCTCTTCTCACTTCCCCTTCCCTTCCAATCCCACTCCTCTATTTCCAAAGTTTCCCATTTCCTGAACTTCATCCACCACAACATCCTCACCATGTCCGTCCCCGCCTTCACCACCGCCCTCTCGGCCGCCCAGTCCAAGGCCCAGTACACCCCCGCCGTGCAGGCCGCCGCCGACAAGGTCAACGCCGACGCCTTCTCCGCCGCCGTCGAGATCGTCCTGGCCGGCGACGACAGCGCCTCCGTCGAGGGCGAGCAGGCCGCCGCCCTGCAGAGCGCCTTCGAGTTCGCCACCCTGCTCGTCAAGCAGCTGGCGTCCGAGCCGGGGCAGACCGAGATGTTGACTGTATGGTCCCCTCCCACAGAAGAGCGTATCACAGGGGGAGCTATGCCCGAACCCCTGACCTGGTGCTGATTGTTGTGGTGTACAGCTTTACAAGTACTTCAAGCGCTCGAGAAACGAGGAGCCTGCCCAGCCTTCGTTCTACCAGTTGGAGGTGAGTTTACCCGGTCCATACTAGTCCCCCGGAGAGTATCCTTCCGGGGAAAATCCTGAGGGAGATGACAAGCGGGCTAACTCAAATGCAAAATCAACAGTCCAAGTACAAGTACAACGCCTGGAAGGAGATCAGCCACATCAGCCAGCAGCGCGCTCAGGCCAACTACATCAAGGAGGTCAACGCCCTCATCGAGAAGTACGGTACCCAGTAGAGGAACGAAGCGTGACTGAACATACTACTTGTTGGTTGTGGGAACTCTGGGACTTCTTGCTATCTGCTTTGGGTTCTCCTCTTTTTTTTTTTTTTTTTCTTGGTTCATTTGGCCTATGGATAGTCGGATGAGTGTGTCCTCTTGATTATGCAATGTTATGAGCGATGCAGCATATTCTGCCGTCTTTGTTGTTGGATCCCTGAATCGGGGAGTGATGTCGATTGTATGAAGATGACGGGGATGGTGTGTGGGGTTGGGTAAGTCATATATATGTTGAGTGGTCTGGTTTCCACTTGGCCCAAGGTATACATTCAACTGTCCCATGTCTGTCCAAACCAGTCGGGCTCGCTGTGGCTTGCCGTGGCGCACCAGGGGATGTCTGTTGCGGTGTACGGAGTTAGGGGAAGATCGTATGGCATACGGAATCCGACGGTTACGGCGGCGTCGTCTGCAGCGGCAGCGGGTGTATCCGTTCGGTGGCATGGCGCCATCACTGTCTTCACAGGAGGAATGGTGTCTGTGTCGAATGATCCTCGGGTCAACAGCTCCGGCCACACCACCACCCCGATCTCCCAGCTGCAGATCCGCACCTCCCCGTTCGCGTTGACCGCCGCTCCCCACGCCTGTGTAGACAGATTCGCCGACGTGACCATCGCCCAATCGATCGTGGTCATCTCTTCCGTAGAGAACCGGATGTATGTTTTGATATGCGGCGCCGCACGCCGGCGGCCCGCTTCCCGCCGAACCACGGCGGGTTGCACATCATCATCATCCCCTGCCCAACGGCACAGAAAGGGGCGCATATACTGTAGCTGCTTCTGCTGAGCCGCGCTCTGCAGTTTCATATGGATAGAGCCCCCGGATCCGTACCCGTTCAAGGAGCGTCGGATCTCATCCGGGGTAGGGAAGACGATAGAGTACCGCGGTTTGGGATCTTCTCTCTTAGGCGCCAGGGATGCGAACAAGATATCTCTCAGCCACTTGTCCGTTTGCCCGAGCGATGCCACCGAGGAGATCTAGGAGCAGATCAGCAAGATCCCACATTTGTAGTAGCAAAGCACAGACAAAGAGCGTCAAACTCACCTGAACGACGATGTGCGGCCTCTTGTTCTTCTTCTCCCCCAAGCCTTCGTCCCCCTTCTTATTATCACAAACAGCGAGAGGCACATCCTTCAACACATCCTTCAACGCCACCCACCCCCAGAGCGTCTTGACCCGCGCATCCGCCTCGCTCAAGTTCTGCTTCGACGGCACACTGGCGACGAGAGCCGCCCGCACGGCCCCGAAATCGTACTGACGCAGCTGCCTGACCAGCGGGCCCGTCTTCTTGGACCCGTACTCACTCAGATAAGCCAGCAGGTCCCGTTTGAACCGGGCTCCCGACCCGGGGAGCCGTTGGTCGTCGTCGCTCGGATCATCTGTATCTCTCCTCGTGCGCAGAGGAAGGAGGGGGGATCGCCACACCGCTTGGGTCATATTCGCCCAATCGCCCGGGATCATGTTGGCCGTGTGGATGACAACTCTATACCTCAAGGTTTAGCCCATAAGCCTCTCATGTGTGTGCACACGTACACACTAGGCTTGGGAAGTGGAAAGGAAACGCACTGGGCACAATCATCGTGTCGCAGGAGAATCATCATTTTGGAGTGATGGGTCCCGAAGGCTTCGGGCATGTAGGCCACGATCGCCTCGACATTCGGGTATCGTGCGCATGCTTCCTGGGGTGGTGGTATTTAGTCACTGTAAAACTTCCAAGATCTTCTATTCATGACGGGGATCGATAGGATGATCGGAGATCGTAAACAAAGAGAATAAGAAGGATAAGATCGCAGAAACATACATCAATACGCACGCGATTCGGCGCCTCTCGCTTCCACGACCCGTGCACCACCTTCAGCTTGACCAGGGCTCTCACGTCCTCGTCGAATTGGCTCATCAGGAAGTCTACATCGTGGAGGTAGTTGAATTGCCAGCACTCGCGGATCATGGGGTCGCCCAGGATATCGCGGAGCCGAACAGTGTCGACATTGTTGCCGGAAGAGGGTGGGAAGTCGCGGATGTGGGTGAGTTGAATGGGTGAGGGGAGGACTTTCTGGTCCAGAGTGCATGGCTGTGCTTTGCTGGGGGGGGATATGGCGCTGTCGTGGGCTGGTGGCGGTGGTGCGGGGTCCCTGGCTGAGCGGGTTATTAATGGAGGTGTAATGGAGCGGTGCAGTGAAGCTAGGGGTTTGATGAAGTCGATGCTATCGTCACGACTAGGCGCATGACCTTCGGCAGAAACCTCAGGCTTCGTGGTTGCCGCGAGAACTTTTGCTCGTTTCGAAGGACGGTCTGCTTCGTCCATCGTGGGGCAGACTCAGTGGAAGCGAACAAAAAGTTGGAGAAGTGAGGTTGGTGCGGAGAAAGAAGTGGGCGGAACAATCAATTGTCGGCTTGCGTACCACCGCAGCTGCCATTCCACCACTAGAGGTCTACTAAGTATCTTTGACACGTTGTCTGGCTAGCTGACCGCAATTGATCAATTGAAACCACTAGTAATACACTATTTTACATCGATTCTATATACTATACACTCTCGACATAGCCCCCAAACTCACCACATGAACCGCTGGATCTTGCCTGGTTCCTGCGGCCATTCGAACCCACAGTACAAGAAAATGTATCCGGTCACCGCATTAATAACCAAGAACCAGTAGGTCTCCAAGAACAACGGAAAGTTGGTAGCCATCTTTGCGTTGAGTTCATCAATACCATTCTGGGGACGCCGGTGCACCAGCGGCGTCGGCTGGGGCGGAAGGTGAAGACGCCACATGACCCATGGAATGATGAAGTATCGCGGCTCAACCAGAGGAGCAGTGATGAGAGACAACGCCGTGGCCGCGAGCCAGACGAGCACGAAGCTCACCTGCGGCGCCCCTTGCTGCTGCTTCTGGCGCTGGATGAGGTGGGCTTGAATCCTGGCAAATGCCTCCTCGGAAATGGGCTCCGGCTTGGGTGCCGCCGACTTAGATGCCTTGACAACCTTCTTTGCTGTCTTCTGCTTGCGTTCCGCCTTCTTCGGAGTAGGCTCGGTCTGCGGCTCTGGGTACTGGAAGGCTGCAGGTTGGGAAATCTGTCTCATCTGGGGCGGTTGAGGGGCAGTGGAAAAGCCGAGGGCAGAGATTACCATCCATGCGCAAAGGAAGTAGATGACAGCAGCGGCGTACTTGACCGCTGGATGGGTTCGTAGTAGAATCCGGAAAGCGTAGAAGACGTAATGACGGTTGTCGGCCAGCGTAAAAGGATGCACAATGGTGTTGAAGTGGATCACAGCCAGCATAATTGGAATGATAATAATTGCTGTTAGCAGCTTCGGCAGTCCCTTCTGTTTCTTGGGGAAACCGAAATCGAGGAACTTCGGAAGGAGGGATTTGGGGAGAGTCAAGTTAATGACGGGTCCAAGGAGTAGTGGCCAGGAGAAAAACACAATGTAGGGCCAGATGTAGAGCATCTGCGGCAGATGAATGCCGGCAGTGTGGAATTCCTTGTGCCCTGGGGATTGTCAGTGAGCTACATGAGGGCTTTCTGAAGCCGAAGAACAAACTCACCTAGAACAACACCATCATTCCAGAAGACGAATGCACCGAATCCTGCGAGAATGAGGAGGTACGGGATAGAAGTACTGATCACGGTGCCGAGATTACCCACGGCAATCGTTACCAGTGAAATAGAGGTTTTGAAATAGTCTAAAATTGTTAACCAAGCTAACAACGATTCTCAAGGACAATGAGCCCACCTTCAATAGAAGCCTCCGAGACAAGAGGGTCGTACAGCTCATTCTGCCATCCCTGTCGAGCAATATCCGCAAGACCCGACGACCGACATGGCTTAGATTTGAGTCTCAGCTGTCGGATAACCTGCAGTCCACCTAAGAAGATGGCTCCCCAGAAAATGTTCGTCTGTCTAAACGCCAACGCTGCCAGTCCGAGGAGAATGAAAGCCGCGGTCTTGAGCGGAGCCCACGCGCCGTCTGCGGAACGCTTGAGGTCCCAGTTGTATGCTTCGACAACCACCAGCAAGGCAAGAATATCGGTGTAGTAGAGCCCAGAAAAGAAGAAAATGGGCGGGAAGAGACAGATGTTCAGCACAGTATGGCTGAGCCAAGCCCCAGAGGGACGTGTGTTGCGAGTCTTGCGCAATCGGTCCAACAATGTCTGCAAGCGATATGGTAGCGCAATGGCCGTAGCTGCCACGTTGGTCGCACGCAGCACTTCCGGGGTAAGCTCCGTAGGAGAGCCACGAAGGAACAGAAGAACAGCGCACAGCCCATAGGACCAGAGATACAGCCCCGGAGGAGTGGTGATTTTAGGATCCCAATGCTTCCATTTGTGAGCCCAGTAAGCCTGCGCCTGAGGGACGTGGAACGCTTCGTCCAGATATGGTTCGGGGACGTGAGCATTGATCCTGCTCAGCCAGATGGGGATCAACAGCAAACAAAAGGGCACGGCATAGCGAGCGGCCAAAACCACGCCTGACTTCGGTTGCGCATTCATGATGAAGGATGCCTTTTAAAAGGAACTCATGCTTTCACAATTGGAGGGGAAAGTACATCATGGATCAAGTCCGACAGCTCCGAAAAGGGAAGAATAAATCCCGCTGCAAACCCGGCAAACATACCGCCTTCACCACGCGCCTGTCAATCTTTCTTTGATCGTGAATGGCATGACTGAATAGATCGTCTTTCGCTTTTGCTGATTTTTCATCTATTGGAATTGATCACGGGGCATGGACCGTGTCCCTCTGCTAAGCCTTCAATCTCTTTCCATCGCCCAATCTGCCTGACTGAGGGACAATGGCCTTTCCCCTCCCGCGGGGCATCACGCCCCCGGAGATCTCCTTTCTGGCCGAGATGGAGATGGTCACTATCCTGCCGCGTCAGCGTCTGGAAGGCCTGGAGTTGCTTGGTGTAAGTTCTGGCGATCGAGGAAGCTCTTGAAATGCTTCACACACCCCCATTCGCATCTCATCTAAAGTCAACTTCTATAAACCACTCACGCACATGTTACCGAACCCACCAACTTTGTCCCCGTCTCTATACAACTACCTTCCCTTTCCCACTCCGCTTCTTCAAACACCAGCACCATCATCTCACCCTCTCTGTGCGCATATGGAAGATCTAAGTCTCGAAACCCCTAGGGCCCCGTCGAACCTCTGATTCCTCCTCGTCGCGCCTCCCTCCCCCTCTGGCTCGCGCTCCTCCTCAAACGCCAACGACGCGCCAACATCCTCCCGCCCTCGTGGCTGCATCCGGAGTCCCTCTCCTTCATCCTAGACATCGAGACCCAATACGAAGAATACAAGGACACGTTCTCCCCCCCGCCGCCGCTGCCAGGGCAACCCCTCCTGCACGACCGCGGCGAGCCCGCCGTCGCCACCCCGCGTTACACCCCGGACGGCGAGAAGTACTACCCGGCGCCGCCGTTCCTGCCGCAGAACGTCGCGCGCGACCACGTCCCACCCCAGGAGCTCCAGACGCTGCCCTTCCACTGGCTCGAGGTCGGGAATATGCTTCTGGACGCGGCGAGCGACGACCTGGTGGAACCCGACCAGACCCGCCGGCTGCTGAAGGAGCTGCGCGAGGTGCGCATGGCCAAGATCCGGTCCGGGGTGGACGCGCTGGATGCCGCGGCGATGGGCGGAGGCGGGGTGGCTTTGACGGGCGTCGGGGCGATCGAGCTCGGCGAGGGACGGAGGTTTATCTCGGGCGTGGTCGATGGGCTCCGGTATGATCCCCATCCACATTGCGGGAAGGGTTCTTTATGTTGCAGCTGGCTAACGTTTCGGCCTTAGACGGATTGGCGCATCCAGGGAACAGGCGCGGAGGGAGGAGCTGGCAGAAGAAATGGCCAACGGCGGATACGATGCGACGCAGGACGATGACGATGAAATGGAATTCTAGATCGCGGGAGACGGCCCTTCCTTTTTGACACAGTGCTCATCTGCGGTCAGTCGGCGTTATGGAGACATACAGTACTTTTGTTCATGGCATTTTGCAGCACCCAATAGGGAAGTCATATGTATATATACCCTGGTATTCATTTTTGACAGATTTACTATACCGCATACAGTGCATATCAATCTGGTCCATTTACGTAGAAATGATACGAACCCCCTGTGTGAACAAGGCGCGCCCTGCAAGCCTGTCCGAAAGGAACAGCAACATGAGTAAAGTCAACACCATCATCCTGAAAGAAACATGGGAAATGTGGATGCCGAGCCGAAGAGGCACTGTCAGCATTGATCAAATCTTGAACCATCCTCAACGCCGACAAAAAACAAAGGTATAAAACTAATGACGAGAGCTAGAAAAAAGCCAGGTCACAAAAAAAAAGAAAAGAAAAGAGGGAAAGGAGAATCCAAATTTGACTGGAAGCCTAAAGCAATGAAAGCCCACAAACGATCCCATGCATATATGCAGGCCGTGCTAAGTCACAACGAAGAATAGCGAATAGGAGAGAGGGGGGGGGGGGGCCTGCGCGCAGAGCCACATCAGAAAAAGGGGACCTCATTGAGCAACCGTCTGGTCCTTCTGCATCATCTTCCTCCGTGCCGCCAAGATCATATCATCCCTGCGCTTCTGGAGCAAGCGCTGTCGCTCCTCCTTGCTCTGCGACCAACCCGTGGAAGACTGAGCCTGTGAGGCCGCGGCGTCCTCGTCGGTGCCGACTTTCGCGCGCAGGTTGTACCGAGAGATCAGGTCCTGGCCGTCCGCCTTGGGCGCCGCGGTGGCGGGCTGTGCTGGCGCGGTGGGGGTGGGGATGGCGACCTGGGGTTGAAACGATGGAGGGGGCTATCGACGTTGCATGCGGCGTTAGTTCGAGCACTTTGTCCCTACTGCCGAGTCTCTTGCTCCGGCAGCGTGCCATCAAGTTAAGGCGCAAGACTTACCACTTCTAGGCCACGGCCCGTAAGGATTCTTTCCGTAGTAGCGGCCATGTTCCCCCCGTTGCGCTGTAAGTCCCACATGATCTCGCGATGGCTGAGCTGAGGAAACATCTGTGAGATCTGCTCGACGTGGGCTGGATCGACGCCATTTCCTCGCGTGCGGCTGCGACCGGTACCGGCCCCAGCATCTCCGTCACGGTTGAAGAACCATCGGATCACGAAGAAAGAGACCACGGCAAGGGTGAGAAGGGAGGGGATGTTCAGGGACGGTTCTTCGTCAGGCATGGTGATGGGTCACGTGTGAAGGAGGGGACTGCGTCAGTGTTGAGGACGGAGGGATATCAGATGTGAGAGGCGCGAAATCGCCGAAAATGAGTGGAAGAATAACTCTGGCCTCACGTCACCCGCAACAGGGGCAAATTGTCGCTAAAAAGGTAAATACCGGGTGGAGACGCTTTCAGAGAGGGGGTGTTGGTTAAGTTGAGGAAAGCCGCGGCAGATTAGGGAGAGCGGCGATGTGGTGGCGGTGGAGCAGTCGGGAGGGCGGAACGGGAGGGCGGAATCCCTGCTGGATAACTCCGTAATAACGTTACTTCCGCTGACGGCATCCTCGTATTCGTACTTAGTCCACATACACCATCCTCGACTATCTTAGAAAAAATGTCATGTTACTATCAACAGATGTCATTAAAATTGTAACAGCAAAGTCATTCAGATTCATATACATCATCCGAAAACACCTTCATCCAGAAACCCCCATGACCCGGTCATATAACGCTTCCTGTCCCAGTCCTTAACCAGAATATGCCCAAAAGAAGTATGCACAAACGAAGAATCAAGTTTCTGGCTGGGGCGAACTCATCTGAGATCCGCAGCAGTCAAGGCTTGAACCACACTGGTACCCTCGCTGAATCTCGTGCGGAAAATACGGTTGGCGTTCTGGAACATACCATCCTTCAGCGACACCACGATGAACTGAGATCCCTTGAACCGCGTTTTGATCAAGCGACCGATATTCTGTGTGTGTGAAAGATCCAAAGCGGCATCAACCTCGTCCAGAATGTACATAGGGGCCGGCTTGAATTGCAGCAGCGCCATGATCAAGGAAAGGGCAATGAGAGACCTGCTCATCTGTAAGTGTCCATGTACGCAAGGCTTTCTTTGTATGGTTTCACATACCTCTGTCCACCACTCAGTTCCGTCAAGCTCTGCTTCCAGACCTTACCCAAAGAGACCTTAACTTCCAGACCATCGGTGATATCCTTGCCTTCTGGAGGATCCAGCTTGGCGAAACTGCCCGGCAGAAGCTCTGAGAAAATCTGACCGAAGTCACCATTGACCTTAACCCAGGTCTTATGAAGAGCCTCCTTTTTGTATTCATTCAGGTTGATGATCGTTTCCTCGATTTTGCTCTTGTCCCGATTGACAGTCTTCATCATGTTCTTCAGCGCAGCTTCCTTCTTCTCCACGCTGTCGATCATGTTCATGACCTTGGGGTTGATCTTCTTCTTCATGCCCTGGGACCGCTCCGTGAGATTCCGCAGAGTTGATTTGCACTCGGCGATGTTGTGATTTTTGAAGTCGTAAGGTGTGTTGGATCGTCCAAAGCTATCCTTCTCGTCTGCGATCCACTCATGCTCATTTTCCATATGGGCAACCGTCTGCGCAGCCACCTGCTGGTCCTTTTGTAGTTTCTCCAGCTGATGGCCCAACTTTTGCATCTCAAGGCCACCTTCAGTTATCTGGGAGCCTTTGGATTTCATCGCCACTTCGAGCTCGCGTAGTTCGTTATCAAAGCCGGTAAGCTTGGCTCGTTCGTCTTCAAGCTGAGCCTGTGCAACGTCGTGTGCATCCTATGACATTTTTAGCAAGCAAGTTGTAACTGCGATTATTCGCTTGCCTACCTTGACCCGGGCCTGTTCTCTCTTCAATGACTTGACCTCGTCCAGCTGAGCCTTCAGTGTATTTTCAGCTTCGGAGCTCTGCTCCTCCGCGGCGGACAGATCACTGCCAACCTGTTCCAACTCCAACCTGGAGTTCTGGAGCTCCTTCTGTAGGGTCTTTACAGAGTTGGAGTTCTTAGCAAGCTTCTTCTTGAGAGAGTCCAGAGAGGCTTGCAGCTCTGCCAGCTTGCTGTCCTTGTTGTCGTTGAACTCGCTCATATCCTTTTCGATTCGCTTGATATCCTTGGATGCTTCTGTCTGTCGAGTCTTCGCGTCGGAAATATTCTGCTTCAGCTGCTCGATATTCGCTTTCATCTCTTCGACGGCTTGAATGATCTAGTTTCAGTGAGCTGCTGTTGTGGAATGTGTAATTTGGGATATGCATCGTAGACTTCTCTTACCGTTGAAGACGAGTTGCCGCTGATCTGCTCTTCTGTAAGCTTGATCTCGTGTGTTTTGAGATCTAGGTCCTGCTTGATCGTTCGGGCTGCATCAAGCTTCTTCTTCTCCTTCTTCATGGTCTCTTCGACGGTGGCGAGGAGTCGCTCTTTGCTGCGGATCTCTCTGGTGATCTCATTCAATTTCCCGAGCGTCACGAGCACACCACTTGAGTTCGGGGAGCTACCACCAGACAGTGTACCCGAAGGGTCATAGACGTCGCCTTCGAGCGTTACACTCTTGATGCGAACGGAGGGGTCGAAAGTGACACGCTTGGCCGTCTCAGCGTCCTGGCAGATCAAGGTATTGCCAAAAACATAGTCCATTGCCGCCGTAACTTCCTCGTCATATCCAATTAGTGACAAGGCAAGGTCAACCTTACCAGGGGCGATATTCTGAGCAGCTCCAATCTTCTCTGCGGAGGCCCTGAAAGACGAGATCTTGTTCAAGGGAATAATTGTCACACGCTTCTTAAGCCTGCCGTTCTTCAAAAGTTGCGTGCCAGTTTCGGCAGAATCAACGACAACGTTGTACAAGCGTCCACCGGCGCAAATCTCCAACGCAGTTGCAGCTTGAACCTTCTCCTTGTCCAAGGCGAAAAGCTGCGCGACAAGACCCTTGACCTTTGAGCGATCGAAATGAGGGTGAGGATCGGCGTATTGGAAATCGATATTTGCGACCCTCCTCTGGAGCTCGTCAGCTCTCCGGCGCAGCTCACGGATGTCCCTTTGCAGCTCCGCCTGCTCTTGGTTAAGCTGTTCTTCTCTGCCTGGCTCATATCCCAGCCTAGTAAGCTCAGCCTCTAGCTTCTTTGCCTGAGACTTCAAGCCTTCCAGTTCTTTAAGGAGACCCGAATTTTGCTCTTTTGCCTTCTTTGCCCTGGGCTCTTCCTCCTTGATTCTCTTTTCCAAGTGCGCGATCTTTAATTTGGCTTGCTCCTGTTCCGTCGCTGCTGCGCTAGCACGATTACGAGCATCCTGCAGCTGACCCTGATAACCGCTCTCCTGGCCTTCTTTCGAAGCCACACCGGTCTGGAGTGTTTGCAGAAGTTCCTCTTTCTGCTCCACCTCAGAGGTCTGGGCGTCCAATTCCGCTTTTGCGGCATCGAACTCGGCCTGCATCTTGTCGTAAACCTTCTTCTTCTCCTTGAGAGCCTTTTCCAGGTCGCTAACTGCTTTCTGGGATTCCTTCATTTTCTCCTTCTCCTCGGCGATGCTAGCGTTCTTGAGGTCGAATACCGTAGTCAATCGGACGAGCTCGTGCGAGTTGGACTTCACTTCGTCTTCCAGAGCTTGAAACTTGCCGCCCTTACGGAGCTCCTTATCACGAGCGGCTTTGACTCTCTTAACATCGTCCTCCAAGTGGGCGATCTCGCCCTTGAGCTTCGTTGCGCTGTCTTCGAGATCCTGTACCCTCCGTCTCTTATTCTCACACTCCTCCCCCGTCACACGCAGCCGCTCATTGCTCTTCAGGTAATCGTGGGCCACAACCAGCCGTGTCAAGCGCTCCAGGTCATTCTGGGTCTGCTGGAAATCCAAGAATGCTCGCTTCTCGGAACGGAGCTTCTCCAGCTTCGGCTCGATTTCCTCCTTCAGCAACTCTTCGATCTCCCGCAGTTTGAGTTCCTTCTTGCTCATGGTCTTCACCGCCTTCTCCCTCCGATCCTCGAACATCCGCGTACCGGCCGCTTCCTCAATCATCGACAGGATCTCGACCGCCTTCATGTTCAGCACCTTGGTAATCTTGCCCTGCATGATCAGGAAGTTGGGATTGTTGATGTTCAGCTGCACGCTCTGGAACAGATTCTGCACGGTCTGCTGCTGCGCGCGATGGCCGTTGATGAGGTACTTGCTTGTGCCGCCGAGGACGATCTGGCGCGTCACGGAGATGGTCGCATATTCTTCAAAGCCGATGGGCGACTTGGCCGTGTCGCGGTTGTCGAAGACGATGGTCACGCTGGCCTTGGTGACACCGGCCTGGCCGCGCTTGTAGATGAGATCCTGGAGGTTCTGGGCGCGGACCGTGCTCATGTTCGTGATACCGAGAACGAAACAGATGGCGTCGAGAATGTTGGACTTTCCACTACCATTCAGGCCGGTGATGGAGTTGAAGGAATCGTCCCTAAAGGCAGACAGTACACATCGTCAGCTTTTCATTCCCAGCGGTTTCGCAGATCGAGTTAGGTCGTTCGACGCCAAGTAAGCGCATACCATCCTGAGATAACCGTACGCACGGCGTACGATTTGAAGCCCTGTTGAGATTGAACGGAGTCAGTAATCCACATCAATTATCTCTTGCAGCCGGAGAGACTGGACTCACATCAATGATAATCTCTGTAATCCTCATGGCTGCAACTCGGATTCTGCCCCATCAACTACAATTCCGGGTGCATAGGCGATGAGGGGGTGGTGTGTGTCGCTGGTTCGATCGGGAATTGTTTTCGCGGGCGGTGTTTTGCCGGCGGCGGGCAGCGTGTTTACTGTTTGCTGTATTGGGCTTAGCTTGTGGTCCTGATCATGTAATCATGGAGGGGCAACACGTGATCGTAACTGCCACCTTAGAGCATCGACCAATCACAATGCATGTGGTTCTTCGCCTACACTGCATAGTACCCAGTACGAGTACAACAATAACCCCAGCGTGAGTCGCAGCAGGGCACTCGGAGACAGGAACAGTCACATTATATGGTAGCTATTATTTGTATATCTTTGCCCGATGCCCGGTCAGTAGGACGACCGTCGGAGAAAGTGTTTGAGAGACATCAAGGCAATCAAGTCCGTGATCGATGCTTCATGAAAATACTACAAAGCCCTATGGGTAACTGGTCATGCTATAGTGTCCAACCACTACATGTGACAAATAAAGTACCTCTGGTCTTTGTATCCTCGATGTGTGGAGTTGAGCAGCCTCCATGTTCGATAGCAATGTGGCCATGAGAGCGACCAGTGCATGCGGAAGGTATATCGTACATCCGAGAACGGGATAAAACCAATCGTCCTTGAGTAAACTTACCAGAAATCGTTTATATCCATATTAAGCCGAGTATATAAGAGATACTATGCTTTTGCAACTGTTGTATACAGTTCTAGTTTTCGCACTCGTAATTGTGGAATGATCATGGTGTAGCCCACCGATATTTCCGCCTACAATAGAATACGAGCTTCATGGCATCATGACGTCTACTAGTCTACTAGTATGTATACTTTCATGAGGACCAACATCGCCCAGCAGTCTATCTCCTTTATCATTAGACAAACTGCTACTACCCCAAGTCTCAAGGAACTATACCCGGTCCAGCTAAGAACCAATCATCGTATACCAGACTTTCGTCCTCAAGGTGCTCCGGAGACATCTCGGAGACATTCATCTGCAACCCCAGCAGTCAGCAGACACGACGAAGGGAATGAAAAAGTAATATAAGAAGTACTCGTCAAACTCACTCACTCCACCTCATCCATCATTCTCTTCCACACTCCACCCCCCTTCTCGAGTCCTACTGTACTTCCACGATCCCTACCCTCCAAGCCACCATCACCGACTCTCCCCCCCCCGAAAAATGGCCACTTCCCACCCCAAACTTGAATACACATCCTACCAAACCCCCGAGTTTCTAGCCAACTACTACATCGCCGAGAAGCTCACCGGGCCCTTCGCCACAACCGTGATCGAACACTCCCGCATCGCGGAGCGAGCACGATCCGGGCACCCCCGCGCGATCCTCGATACCGCCTGCGGCCTGGGGATCGTCTCCAGCACGCTAAATCGCACCCTCGACGACGAGAGCAAGCGTCGCTGGAGCTTGACATGTGGCGATCTGAGCGAGACGATGATCGAGGCCACCCGGCAGCGCATTGAGCGCGAGAAATGGCCGAATGCGGACGCGAAGGTGGTGAATGCGCAGAGCACCGGCTTTCCGGACGAGATATTTACCGATATATTCGCAGCTTTCGGTGGGTCTTTGCCTTTGTCTTGTGAGCGTGTGGGATGGTCAGGTTCGTGTGTGCTTGAAACGGAGGATGGCTGACCTTCGAGGCGTTGTTGTTATAGCCTTCACCCTATTTCCGGATCCAGAGGCTGCGATGAATGGTAAGTTGTGCTCCAGTCTGGATCGGGCAGTGGATGTGTTTGGAACGAATTTTGCTAACGTGCAATGGCTATTTGTGTGGCAAAGAATGCTATAGGATCCTGAAGCCCGGGGGAACGCTGGCGGCGACGACCTGGAAATACGGTATGTGCCCTCCGGTCTTCTTGCTATCGGGCGCTTACCAGCCTGAGTACTGACGTACTTATTTTCCTGCACAGCGACCTGGATGTCTCTCCTCCGAACCGCTGTCACTGGAATGTCGGAGGGTCTGAGCTTCCCAACCATAGAGGAGTTCCTAGCTATGCATAACGTTGGCTGGGATTCGGAATCGTTCGTAGGGTCACAATTTGAGAAGTCAGGATTCAAAGAGGTTCGAGTGACCTCTGTGACGGAACAGGTTGAGGTTCCAATCTCTGAATTTCTGCAGCTCTCACGGAGTATGCTGAATTTGGTGATAGAAAAGTGGTGGACTCGGGAACAGCGAGAGCGGTATCAGGCGGAAGCACCATTGGCGGTGCAGAGGTATCTGGAAGAGAAATTCGGGGTAGATGGACTAGTAGATATGGGGCTGTCGGCTATTGTTGCGGTGGGAAGTAAGTGAGTAGGATTGAGGGGAGTTCACCTATGATTCTCCAGTCTACAATATGAAATGTGCATATTATAGTCAACAAAAACCAAACTTCAGATCATGGGAGTCATAGATTGAGATTGAGGTATGTACTGAGGGACTTTGCCACAGAATGTAGAGAACACCGGGTGCTCCGCGATTACTGGTAACATCTAGAGCGACTGTTTAAGGAAACTATCAGTGAGCCCGAACGCCGTTGCTGACCCCATTCCACTTTGACTGGTCTGTGTTCGACATTCATGACCCGTGGTGCGGAAATCCGGCGCGCGCAAGCCCTCGGTTGGGATCCATACGGTTGTCCAGATCCTCATAGCGAAGGATGAACTCACGCTGCAGATCGCAAGATTAGCATGGTTTTATCAAGACAAAAAGAAAATGAGGAAATGGCGAGGGGGCATACTCTGATCTTCTTCCAGCTGGTAGGATCCCACAAGAGGTAAACACCCCTTTCACTGACCCCACGTTCCACGTCCACAGGACCGGGATACGTCTCGTCGCGAGTCAGCCAGCACCGCTCGATCTTGTGATATCTCCATTTCCGACCCATCAATTCCTCGGCTACGACCTCTTGTAGGAGATCTCGGGGCATGCTGTAGAAGATGTAGAAGAGCGTTTCATCACTAAAACTCGGAATCCGCGATTGCAACGGTTGGACGTTGGCCACGCTGTAGCATGAAGGAAGCGCGAAATCTTGTTCCAGAGGGGCGCCTGTCATGGACGCAACGAATGGTGAAGCGAATGACGTATGTAATGGTCTGAAGGGGTCAGTCGGCATATTTTCGCGCAGTGTGGTAGAATGCATACTCAGGCTGGTTCAAATCCAACCCTAACGTCATCAAATCCTGGCCTACTGCCAGGCTCGAAACATCAGCATTATCACTATGGATCATGCGCAACAATCCCGCTAGCCCGAACTTGTCCAGTTCGCTCATTTCCGCGAAAGGCGATTGATCGGCTGTTTGCGCAGACCCTACAGACGCTTCTTTACCGGTAGCCGGAAAACCTGGCGGTCGCATGATTGTTGGTTGCTCGCTGTAGCCGGCGGTATTGGACGCTACGGAGCTGCTGACCTCCTGCTATACAATCGTCAGTTTCGAAGTCAAGAGGATGTGGTCGGGATTAATACCTCTTTTTCCGGGGCAGGAAGCCTGCTAGAGCCTTGATTCACAGGGGATCGCGAGTTGTCTATTCCTAGAACGTGGCCTTAGTGCTCCGTGTGGCGCTAACGCGCTCTACTACGACTTACCTGCTGAGCTTGCATTCCCAGGGGACATGATTCTTTCTTGTCCGTTCAAGGAAGCGGCGATCATGTTGCGATTTTGTGCAGATTGGGACTGGTTGACTCCAGAAAATGGCATACCACTGCTGTAGTTTCCAAGCCCCGTGCCCTGCATCAGCGACCCTCTTCGGTCCTGACTTAGGTCTGCAGGCGCATTGCGACCGAGCGGAGGGAATTCTTCAATATTGCCCGTCTGCGGCTGTCCACCAGCACTCAGCTGACCACTGATACCTTGACCACCATTCCGGAAATCTTCCAAACGATTGGCGAACTGCGCGCCGGAGGGGAATACATCATCATGTGCGGGCTGAGATTGCTGTTGAGGGTGTTGGGTTTGCGTTTGAGGTGGCCTTGATGGCGCTTGCGACGTAGCATGTTGCGGTCTTTGGACGGGGGTCTGCTGCATAGCCCGCTGGCTGGCATTTGCCCATACCATGTGGCTTGGATTTTGGGTTTGTGATTGCGGAGCCGCGCCGGATAGCGAGGGGAAGTCCCTGTGAGGAGAAACAATGATTCTCAGTCATGAGCTCAACCGAATGGGTATCCTCGATGAGCCGATCCATACAGATCAAGCCCTGCAGGTCGAGTGCCACACTCACGAGAGATCCAGCGGCGTAGTGGGCTGGGATCCACTTAAGCTTTGAGCGAATGTGCCCATTGCCCCGATGCTGCGTTGTTGACTGCCTTGCATCCCTGGCGTTCCGCTTACAGGCAAGTTGAAGTTCCAGTTCGCTCCGCTCCCTATACCAGCCACAATTGTCAGTTCGTGGATGTGTAGAGTGCCCAGTATCAGAAGAAGGTCGTACCGATTTTGCCGTTCGGTAACCGCGCCGTTGCTAATGCTGCGTTTCGAGCTTGTGCCTGTTGTTGTGCGGGGAAGCCGGCCATGCCTCGTAGGGGTTGTGGGCCTGTTCCTGGAGTTGGAAAGAGCGGTCAGCGACACAGTCAGAGCCTCTGGTAGAACATCTTGACATCTTGCGATTGTCTTCAAGTGAGGCCGGAAGGGAGGAGGTGCGGAGATGCTGCTTCGAGGTCTCATGGTCGCCCATGGAGGCACCATCAGTGGAATTTTGCGATTGAAACAAACTAGAGAACAGCCACGGTACCGTGCATTAAGCACCCTTGGGACCGTCCACACGAATGTTGTGGCGATGGAAGGCAACACAGTATCCAAGATCGAGGGCGTATGAGGCGGCCGTAGCAGCAAGGCCGGTCATGACGAAGACAAAAGGGAAGGTTGGAGAGGACAAACCTGGCCTATTCATTGTGCAAAGAGGTGGGTGTTCAGTAAATTCTGTGGGAAAGTCAAGTTTTTGGATCGGAACTTCAAGAAGACAGTCAGTGCTTCAACGTAACAGCGATAAGAAGGAAATGTGCAGCTAGGATCTCTACCCACACTGTTGCGCCGGTACTGGGAGGTGGAGTGGCTGCAACCGCGCGCTTCTTCTTCTTCTATGCACGGACCATCCATGACTAGCCGCCCGAGTCACGAGCATCCAGAACACTCCCGGTCACGTTACCTCGCACAAACTAAGAAATTGTCGTGAACAGATGAGTTCTTGCTTATCTGTAGCCCAGGCTGGAGTAGAGTAGGCAGGAAGAGCATGCATGAGGGAAATTCTTTGTATTCACATGGAACTAGTGGGAAGTATGACTTGTTGACAGAAGCAGTCCAAAAACGAGACATGGTCAGTAATGATTACTAGATAGGTACTAGGTAGCTATGCCTTGTGTAGCATAACGACCAATACATTTTCAGACTGGGCGAGATTGATTCATAAAGCCTCACCATTGTATCCTGAGTATTACTATTCTCTTCACTGGCCAACCGCCTATTTTCTTGCCTATGGAATGTTTCGCTTGGCTCTCCCTATGGGTCGATGTTGCACGGAGCATCCTGGAGCGGCGCCTACACGTGACCTAGCCGCCCAAACTCCGCTCCGTCAGCTTTTGATTCCTCGGGGCCCGCAGAACGGACATATTGTGCTAGAGATCCCTTCGACGACGAAGGCTACCATCCTGTCACAATGCATCGCCAGGCCGTTCTGCGTCTGGCTCGCCAGACCGGCGCTTTTCCCTTGGGCGAATTGCCTCCTCCATACCTCGCCCCGTCCCTCCATTTCTCCCTCAATCGGTCGCCGGCCCAGGCCTCGAACTTTTCGTCCACCGCTGTCGCCGCGGGCCACGGACGTGACCTGAGCAAGTCTCGCGGTGTGTCCGCCATCCATCGCACCGGCCCGAAATTTAAGCTGGGTGTTTCGAAGTACCCCTTGCCCAAGCCCGTCGCTCGCGGCGAAGTCGAAAAGCGTCATCCTACCCCCGACCATGGACTCTGGCAGTTCTTCCCCAAGGACCGACAGGCATTGAGCAGCCCGGAATATGATACCGCCCACGGTTCGTTTCTCCAATTCTTTTCCTGAAGGATTAGTCTGGCCCAGTCAACTCATTTTTCGATCTCTTAGGCCGGTCATGGTCGATTCAGGAACTCCGCGAGAAGTCGTGGGATGACCTCCACTCTCTGTGGTGGGTCTGCGTCAAGGAGCGCAACCGCATAGCCACCTCCAACCTGGAGAGAGAGAGACTGAAGGCCGGTTATGGCGAATACGAGGCGAACGAGCGAGACCGTGTGGTATGTCCCTTCAACTCTCCCCGTCATTTCTCCTTCGAATAGGCTACAATCGATGCAAGTTCGCAACGTTGATCCAAGCCTTTGCCCCATCATCCAATGATTTAGTATGGTTACTAACATTTGACGGATTCATTAGGTTCGTGTTACGCAAAACGGCATCAAGCACGTTCTGCGAGAAAGATGGTACGCTTGGGAAGATGCTCAGAAGCTTTACAAGGATGGATACCGGCCGCAGCACCAAGATACTCAGGATGCGTCCTACCCTGCAAAGTCTGAGGAGCCTGAGAAGGCGTGAAAACCACCATTGGTTATGTCATTGAAGACACACATTTAAGGGCTCTATTGACGGATGTCCACCTTACTGGTCTTGTATTATTGTATGTAGTATAGTTCGCAACTTCCCCTTTTTTTTCATGCATTGGCTCGCTTCAGAATCTATACATTGTGCTCAGATCATTAGGAGAAATGTCTGTGAACTCATGGAAACACATCCATAGAAGAATGATTGGAAGGGGAAATTTCCGATGGCTATTGCAAATAATCAAGCCATTAAGGCACCGATATAGATAGCGTGCAAATAGTTGCCGGGGTCGGCTCTTAGTCACTTTGGCCAGTCCGGAGTAGACCGTTTATAGCAGAAAGCAATAATCCCCGGGACAATATTGGTCATTGTCGATGTGCGCTGTGCTATGTGCTATGTGCTACGTAGTCCTATTGGGAAAAGGGGCAGGAGTTTCAGGAGGTCACAGAAGAAGAAATTGAGAGAGGGGCTCATGATTCATCCGATAAATTAACTTGGTCTACGGGTCCATTGTCTTGGTGCCTACCATACAATAGTCGGGTCGTATTCATTGTCGTTGTCGTAGTAGTCGGTTTGGTCTCAACCGTCCAAGGACTCGTGGTCCAGTCTAGTCAAGTCCATAACCCGTAAGTCTAGGGAGGTTCAAGGTCTGGCAGTCACCCTGAAAAAAAGCCAACGTTAATTGCCTTGGTGGAGCCTGGGTGGGCGGGCGTCAAATAATAACGGGTTCGAGAAGGTGATCGATGATCCGCGGGGGGTTCCAAATCTACCCTTAGACTGCCTTAGACTGACGGGTCGGCCTCCTTTCGACGGGCCTGCTTCTCCTCCTCCTCTCCCTCCTTCTCCTCTCCTCTTTTCTTTCCTTTCCTTTAAACTCACCGTGCTTCATAACTCTCCATCTTCTTCCCCCTATACACTTACTGCCCATATTTATTTCCATCCTCCTATCACTCCTTTGGAGATTCATTTGCACATTGTCTTTGATTCCCAGCGTTATCTCACATCATGGATGAGATCGCCCCCGAGTATGATGTCGTCGTGCTCGGCACTGGTATGTTGCTACCCCGCCATTCCACCAAAGCTATACTGACCCCCCTCCTCCCCCCTCGCAGGTTTGACCGAGTGTGTGCTTTCTGGGTAGGTTCTCCTTACTGCTGTCGGATATATTCCTGTTGCTCATGGTTTCTGCAGTGTTTTGAGTGTCAAGGGAAACAAGGTGCTTCACATTGACCGTAATGACCACTACGGAGGGTAAGTTTGGGCAGCTCCGCCGGAGCTATCTTCCCACCAGCTTGGCCATCACACAGACCACTAATCAAGCGTTCAGAGAGGCTGCCTCTGTCAACATCGAGACTGTGAGTATCTACAGACCTTTCATACTCTTATCGGTGTTGCTAACATTCGATTTACACCTTACAGCTCTTTAAGAAGTACGGCAACGTTCGCCCCGGCGAGGAGCCTTGGAAGAAGTATGGCCGCGTCAACGACTGGAACATCGACCTGGTTCCTAAGCTTTTGATGGCCAATGGCGACTTGACCAACATTTTGGTTTCCACCGATGTCACAAGATACCTAGAGTTCAAGCAAATTGCGGGCAGCTACGTCCAGCAAGGAAAGGGTCCCAAGGCCACCGTCGCCAAGGTGCCCTCGGATGCCGGGGAAGCTCTGCGCTCCTCCCTCATGGGCATGTTTGAGAAACGGAGAGCCAAGAAGTTCTTGGAGTGGGTGGGCGAGTTTAACGAGAACAACCCTTCCACTCACCATGGTCCGTAGAAGTTGTGCCCTTACTACCTCATGACACTGACATGGGATAGGCCTCGATATCACCCAGTGCACGATGAAGGAAGTCTACGACAAGTTCAGCTTGGAAGATAACACTCGCGATTTCATTGGCCACTCCATGGCTCTCTACCAATCCGATGAATACTTCCTCAAGCCTGGAGCAGCCCCCGAAACCATCAACCGCATCCGCCTGTATGTCAACTCCATGGCCCGTTACGGCAAGTCGCCATACATCTACCCCCTTTACGGCCTGGGTGAGCTTCCCCAGGGTTTCGCTCGTCTTTCTGCCATCTATGGCGGTACCTATATGCTCAACACCTCCGTGGATGATGTCCTTTACGATGAGAGCGGCAAGGTGTCTGGAATCAAGGCCACTATGAAGGACCGTGACAACGAGGGCGAGACCATGAGCTTCACCACTAAGACGAAGAAGATTCTCGCCGACCCCTCGTACTTCCCTGGCAAGGTCCGCGTCACTGGCCACTTGTTGAAGGCCATCTGTATCCTCAACCACCCCATCGACAAGACCGACGGCAGCGACTCGCTGCAACTCATCCTCCCTCAGTCCCAGGTCGGCAGAAAGCATGGTATGTCTACCTACAATTGATTTGGTCTTAGGACGTACTAATATAGTTCAGATATCTACATTGCTATGGTCTCTTCGGCGCACAATGTCTGCCCCAAGGGATACTATATCGCCATTGTCTCGACCATTGCCGAGAGTGATGCCAACCACCACATCGAACTGGAGCCTGGGTTCGAGCGCCTGGGTAAGATCGAGGAGACATTCTTCAGTGCTCCTATTCCTCTGTACGAGCCCATCGAGAGCGGTGAGAAGGACAACATTTTCATCTCCAAGAGCTACGATGCTACCTCCCACTTCGAGACCACAACAGGTAAGCCTTGCGGATTCCATAAGGGAGATGTTTGAGCCTTTTGCTGATATCTTCATAGAGGATGTCCGGGACATCTACCGTCGTGCGACGGGCGAAGAGTTGAAGGTCGAGGGTCTCCGGGAAGATCAGAAACTTGTGGAGTAAACCAGCCTCCAGCATTTGCATACTAGGGTACAGTAATTTTTTTGTCGCTTCGGATGCGCGTTTTTGACTTGAGCCATAATTCCTCTTGGACTTTCCTTCACGCTCATGAAACATACCACATATTGCTCTTGGACTCAGTCCACTCGCTTGGTCTCTGGCATACGCTATTATTACAGTAGGGACTGGTCAACATATGTTCATAACAACCCGGCTCGCAGGTGCATAGCACCAACTTGTGAATAAGAGTTGTTGTTTTGAGTTGAACACATAAACACATGAGGCTGTAAAAATGCTCTATCCTAAGTGGCGTCCACAACACAGAAGACCGCAGCAGTAGGGTCTCGAAGGTCACAAATAACGACTCTGTAAATAGAGGGAGAAGAGGAAGTAGTACAACAAGCGCTAGTCGACGGGTGCAACAACAAAACACTCCCTCCCAGCCAACCCAGCCAGCCCACTTCACATCGACGAGCCATCCAAATTGACTTTCTCATGGTCCGCCACAATACAGACCTTGCCATCCTCCACACGACAGAGCTCCGCCTTCACCAGCGCCATCCGCTGGCCCATATTGACCATCTCGCAGATGATCCGCATCTCCGTTCCCACGGGCACGGGACGGATGTAGGTCAAGTGGAGGTTGCGCGTGGTCCCCGCCGTCGCGAAGCGGCCGGGGCTCGAGAGCGCCAGGATCAGCACCGAGGTGAGGCAGTCCACCATGGTGGCGGCGCATCCGCCGTGCAGGTTGCCGGCGAAGTTGCAGAGCGCCGGGACGGTGGTGAAGAGGTAGGAGCATCGTGCGGGGGCGGCACCGGCACCCCGGGTCGCGGACTCGAAGCGCAGGTTGCAGGCGTGCGGGGAGTAGTCCCATGTCTTTTGTTTGTGAGTGTTAGTCTTTATATAAAACTTGGGCTAGGTCCATGAAGCTACACAGTGCTGTACTGCACAGCATACGTACTTTGTTGTCCGGGTCCGATGGCGGAGGTCCCTCGGTTAAGCTGTGGACGTGACGCTCGAACTCGTCCAATTCGTTGTATTCCCGGGTGGTGGGGACAGGCATTTTGTCTTAGGAGACTTCTTGTGTTATATCGTGGGTGAATTGTTGGGTCTGGGGCTGGAATGGGATCATGTGGTATGAAGTATGGACAGAGGAATCAGTCGACTACAGACGCATATCTATGCGCTTGCGTCGGTTGGGGAGTTGTTAGAGGGGAAATAGCCGAGGCTGACGGCTGTTGTTTCAATGGTTGTCAGTTGCTCACTCCTTGTTCCTTTGTTTGTGACATCGTGTCCATTCATCAGCTCTTATACCTCTTTCTCTCCGTTTGTTTGACTTCGTCTTCGTCAAAGGACTGGGCTCTACGAAAGAGCGTTTGATTCTGACTGTCGATTGCGGGGACGAGATATATACTTTCAGTCACCATCCTTGAACCAGAGTCAAAGACTAAACTCGCACCAAATGGACCCGTCAACAAACCCTAGAGCCTATAGAACTCGTAAAACCAGATAAAACCAAACTTCAATGGTCCCCAAAACAAGGCTGAACCTTGAGAGGGCTTCTGGACAAGAAGCAAGAATGGGTTTCTGGCTATAGTTCAACGGGGTCTCACATGACCGCGCGTCACGCTGGCTGCCTGAGGCCGGAAGATTCGTCGCTCCCCATCAATGCTTCTCCGCCCTGGGAGGCCGAAGTCCGAAACAAACTCCCATAACCCTGGTGCTCCTTCGACAGCATTTTCCTCTGTGTGGCCTGGAGAAATACTTGTTACTTCTGGCTGTATGATATTCAGGTCGTTTAGCAAATCACGAATTGCACTTCATCCCCCAATTGGGCCTCCGACCGATCACTTATTGGAGATTGTTTCGTTCTCCGCACCTTACCTATCTATTCCTTCCCCTTCGCGCCGATAAACCAACCGTGCGACACACTTGCCATTCACATTTTTTTCCTACACAAACCAGGACCCGGGAAATGAGTACACAATCCAAAAGTCTCCGGTAGTCAGCAGTTCAACAGCAAACTTTCGAACCCAAATCAAGGCGAAATACCTACGGTCGTCAACAATGGAGCACTCGCGCGCGAGCAAGAGGAGAAGGGTGTCGAATGTACAGACTGTGGATGAGGATGGGGATGTTGAGATGCGCGATGATACTATCAATGCTCCGGCAGGCCAGTCGCAACCCACGCCAGATAAGAATTCCAAGGCAGTGACCGAAGCGGAGGAGGCGCAATTGGTTGACGAGCAACCAAGATCACCAGTTTCCGCGCGATCGAAACGCCGACGATCCTCCCAAGATGTTCCGGCGGTGGAGGATGACGACCCCCACAAAAACAACGCTGAAGAGGCGGTGGCAACGGAGACCTCGTCGCGGGCTGGAGTACGGTCAAGTGGTCGGCAGCGAAAAGTACCCAAGCGATATGGAGACGAGATCGTGGAGACGCCATCGGGCAAGCGTGCGGCGGCCTCGACGCCGAGGCAGAATGGGTCCACAACTAAGAGTGCGCGGAGAGCGAAATACGTGTCGGCGTCAGAAGACGACGGTGTTGGGGACCAGGAGGAAGAGGAGGTCGAAGCATCTCCAGAGCCGCAGAAGAGGCGAACCCGATCCACCAGAGCGAAGAAGCCTTCGGTGCGGTTTGAAGCCTCGGACGAGAAAGGCGCTTCAGCGAAAGACAGAGAGGAGTCCCGAGAGTCCTCTCATCCAGACGACTACCAGGATGGACTGGAGGACCTCGTTTCAATGCAGTTGCAGGAGGATCTCACCAATAATGATCTGATCGAAGTCGATCGGACGGCTGCGAAGGAAGGTCCGCTTCCTGCGTATGCCGAACAGTTCCAGTCTAATGTTCAAACGGGCTTGACGGAAGAATTGCAATTTTTGACTCAGGTTGTCCTCGAGAAGCTGAACGGGAAAAAGAGGGTGCCTCTCAAAGGGCTGGAGTCAGAATTCGACAAGGTCAACCAGCTTGTCGAGCAGACGGTCTCAATTGGCGAGAGTAACTCGATGCTGCTGCTTGGATCGCGCGGCAGCGGAAAGACGGCTATTCTTGAGACGATCATCGCGACGCTGAGGAGGTCGCATAAGAACGATTTCCACGTTGTCCGACTCAACGGCTTCCTGCACACGGACGATCGGCTGGCGCTCCGTGAGATGTGGCGCCAGCTTGGTCGTGAGACGAACACCGAGGACGAAGCCGGTAAGGTCAGCACCTATGCCGACACGATGGCCACTCTGTTGGCGCTCCTATCCCATCACGAGGAGCTCTTTGGCCCTTCATCAGACCCCGAAAACGCGACTGCCGCCAAGTCGATCGTCATCATCCTGGACGAGTTTGATCTCTTCGTGACACATCCACGCCAGACGCTTCTGTACAATCTGTTCGACATTGCGCAAGCGCGCAAAGCCCCCATCGCCGTCCTGGGGCTCACCACCAAGGTGGAAGTAACCGAGATGCTGGAAAAACGCGTCAAGAGTCGCTTCAGTCATCGTTACGTCTACGTACCTCTTCCACGAAGCCTCGAGGTATTTTCCGACATCTGCTTCGCCGGACTCAATCTCGAGGACAACGAGATCGCGGACCTGCTGGAAGATGCGGATCCGGCTGAGCAAGCGATCCTTAAATCTGAGGGCTGGGGAAGACTCCTCGCAGCATGGAGGACGTATCTACAGGTGAGCTTTACCCCAACCCCCAAAACCCCCCGTCTTTTCCCATTAAGCCCACATCACTAATATATAAGCACAATACAGAATCTATGGACGGACGAAGCATTCTCCGCTCACCTGCGACGGATCTACTACCAAACCCGATCCGTGAAGGAGTTCTTCACGAGCGCCCTGGTGGCCATCAGTGAACTGCACCACAGCACCTACTCCACCACAACCGACGCTGGCAGCACCTCCCTGACCATTCCCACCGCAACCACGTTCACCAGCCACCCGCTCTCCTGCCCTGACCCGGCCCCCTTACCCTTCGCGCCCACGATCACCGCATCCGCCAGCCCGTCCTCCCTGCCTCTCTCCCTCCTCCTCGCCGCCACCCGCCTGGCCGCGCTCTACGACCCGGGCCTCGAGAGCGTCCAGCAGACCCCATCCGGGCCCCTGGCCCTCTCCTTCCCCGCCGCCTACGCCGAGTACGTCCGCCTACTCACTTCGGCCATGACCTCGGCCTCGGTGTCCGGCGCCACCGTCACCCCGGGCCGCGTCTGGGGCCGCGATGTCGCGCGCGAGGCCTGGGAGAAACTCGTCAGCTGGGGCCTCATCAGCCCCGTCGGCGGCGGCAGCGGGACGACGGACGCGCGCATGTTCCGCGTGGAGATCAGCTTCGACGAGGTCGTCGAGATGGCTGGCACGGGCGGGTCGTTGGGTCGCTGGTGGCGCGATGGGTAGAGTTTTGGCCGTCAATTTTGGTTGTTCGTTCCTTTTTCTTTTGTTTTCATCCCCTTTCACTTCTCGAAGGAAACAAAGGAGATCATTCAAATACCCGACTAGCATAGAATTTGCGTTGAGAAGTAGGTGATTAGACATCAATAGAGGAACCCCCCGGGGTCACTGAATCTAGTCTAGTTCTAGCACGCTACATACACACACCCCGCGTAGGTTTAGGCCGAGAGTGGAGTCTTTTGTCCCTTTGTCAGTCGGTCAGTCCGCCAGGCTGGCCCAGGTCAGGCCGAGCCTGTCAATCAGCCAGCCTGCCGGCCTGCATACAGACCAGAATCAAATATACATGCACGGCTCAGGTTTGCACTCCACTGCACAAGAGAGATTGACTGATGTAGACATCAGCAACGATGAGGTGAAGGGAGGGAAAGTCCGGCGAATTGGGTTCCACTAAGCTCAACAGATAAGCAGAGCCAGACGGTAGGAAGAGGAAAATCAATTGTCGATGTGTATGTATCTATGGGTATGCAAGTGTGTGTGTGTTGGGGGAGGGGGCAATCATCTCACTGTATAACAGCCAGCCAGCGTTGACTGGACGGGTTGGGGTTACCTCTTTTAGTCTGATATCTTCTGTGCTACCCAGCTTACCTGCTGTAGTATCTTGGCCTACATAAATTCGAAAAGAAAACTACTGCATCCGATTACGCTCTTACACCCCCTCACTTGTTCATCCCTCTGCCTCTTGTGCAGTACTCTGGCGTAAGAGGGGAGGGAGGGCTCCCCATCTCCATCTGCACAATCAGCCAAGCCAGACCATGAGCTCCCGTGTTCCGGTCTCCCCAGGCCCCGGAACCTGGACCCCACGCGCGAATACTCGCAGGCAAGTATGGGCTGGCAGCATGGCGAGAGCGTGGTGACAGACTTGTATTATTGTACTGGACTATGTAAATGTCAGATCCCGGTGTCAAGACTATCGGTAGTAGAAACATAGGACTGCAAGTTTTCCAAGGACAAACATTTGACTGGCTTACTGTGGTGAGCGTGGGATGTTGCTGTTGTGGATTGCGCCATGGGCCGCCACTTGTTCATGACATGGCAGTGCCTGCTGCATACATCCGCCTATATTGATGTGGAAGGACGTTCCTTGCCTGAGGTCATGATGGGCCTGCCTATACTGACTGTATCTAAGCCGTATGCCTAGCTCGCGTGAAAGCTGTGCAACCGGGGAATCTCGTCTAGCGGTTATTTTCCGTCACAGTCGGATGTCCGGGATTGGTGACAGGGATGTGAGAGTTTTAAGACCGGCCGATTTGAGCAGTAAGGTACGTAGGCACTGAGAATTTATGCGTGGGAAGGTTGAGCCCGTTACCGCACATAGACGGAAAAGAGACTTTGCCTTGAACTGCCTAGTCACGTAGTATCCGGACATCTGCTGAAGTATATGCAGCCCATAGCGATTGGTCCTGAAGAGGACTGTTCCCTTTCACTGCAATAGGCGATGTGTCTAGTACATATGGGACCTTGCTAGTATGCACATGTCAGACACAGAGGATGGTGATCTTAATCTGAACTTTCCAGCTGTGCATTAGCGCAACCACCTGGCTGTCCTCATGGCATGGCGTGGCGTGGCAGGGCATGGCGTGGCAAGGAGGAAAAAATTAGTCTGGACCAGTTGTGCGACCCAATCTATGCGTCATCTAGCTGCAGTCCGCAAGGGATGATTGGTCTCGCGGTCTTTGTTCGGAACAGTGAGGGTTCGACTCTGTTCCGGCCAATGAGGGCACTGAGATCTTCTGATTGTCGTGGCAGGATGGAATAGCTATCAATGCTTAGAGCCGATCAAGCATAGTGTCTGTCTGTCCGAATTCTGCCAAGGAGTGGTTGGTGCATGGCACTCTAGGTATATGAGGGGAAGGTCGATGTGCGAGCTCGGGCTCGATTTGCATGTTTGGTTTTCTCCTCCTAGCTCATGTACCGTATGTCGGGAGTTACGACAAATCAGAGACCTTCTGCCGTTCGAAAACTAATGCATGAAATGACCCTGTTGATTTAAGTCGGTGCTACTCCGAGGATCAGAGGAGGATCTCTCAGTCATCGTCCAACAAGCGGGGGCATTAGGTCACTATGGAAACCAAGTAGCGTTCTTCTTGACATCCGTATC